GGGTGGGTCCTGTCCTGATAGGTTCGGGGTTGACTGGCCCTCACCAGGAATCTGTGAAATGTTTGATTATGGGTGGGTTAATCATTAAAGAACACAAAATGAAGCAGTGAAGGAGGGAAACTAGATTAGCAGTGGTGGTTTTCAAAAGCTATTTAGAAAACCCACTCACTTGGGTACTGGGAGGCTGGCTGAGCTACATGGAAGTGTGATGTAGTAGTCTCCAGGAGGTTATATCAATCAGCAGGTTTTCTAAATAGCTTTTGAAAATGATTAACCCATCCATAATCAAAAACGTCAGAGATTCCTGGTGAGGGTCACTCAACCCTGGGCCATTCCCTCATTCTGCTATTTCAGCTTTCCTATAGCAAACCCTAAATGGGGTTTTTCCGTAGAATGTTATATTTCTGAAAAGGGCCTCTGGAAAATATCAATCTGGTTTGAATTATAACTCCCCCCCGACACACACACACACCTTTTTCTTTTGCAGGAATCTGGTGTCTTTTGCTCAGCATCTGTGTGAGAGAGCTCTGAGACTCCTGCGCACAGCACTGTGAACCTTGTGCCGCCCCCCCGTGACGTCATCCAGATGTGTGCCCCGCCCACACCCCTGGAGAAGGCGTGTCCTGGATACAGTGGTTTTCACCTGCTCAGGAAGATCTCTCGCATTACCGGATGAGGACTCTTCAGATTTCATAATTTGTTCTGTTAGCCTGGATTTTATCTTGACGATTTTCTTTTTTTGAAATTCACGTGCTCTGCAATGGTGAAGCATCACTCATCTAATCTAAGGATAAATTAATGTGATCCTAAAACTTGCCTGTAATGCAGCGCATATGATTTCTATATAAAGAAACTTGCTTTTTGGGTGACCTCATTTCTGAAGTTTTTTTATTATTATTATTATTCCACGGTACTGTATTGTACTTTTCATTTTCACTTCCCTGCTTCGCTCAGCGACGACTCCACTGTGACCCCATGTGGCGATTTGGTGAATAATCGGATTGAGTTGTGTTGCACTGGAATGACACAGGGCTTTTAAACCCAGCTCTTGGAAGACTAGGTTTCTACCCTGAGAAGTCAATTAAACGATTAAACTAACCCCTTTCTGCATGAGACATATATGGGATTTTTCATTGTATTTTACAATTGATTACACGAGACAGTCAGTCCATTAACAGTACAGTTACCTAGAATTCACCTAGCAGCCTGGGTAAGATCAGAAGATAAGAAAGTTGGTAAAATAAGATTTTCTGACCAACTTTGGGTGGAACAAAAAGCAGCAGTCACCAGGCCGTCTAGGATCTCAGAGTGAGATGGCCACATTAAGGG